AACTGTCTAAACTTATGGGAGAGATGGAATGCTTGGCTCCCATGTTTCTGATTTCCTTGCTAACAGTCTATGAGGCTCAGTAATGAATATGTGAAACTTATTTGGGGAAAAAGAAAAAAAATCACACACCATGACCCCAGGGATGCAAGGACTCTTCAATATACACAAATCTATCAATGTGATATACACCATATTAACAAACTGAGAGATAAAAACCATAAGATCATCTCAACAGATGGAGAAAAAGCTTTTGAAAAAAATTCAGTACCCATTTATGATAAAACTCTTAAAACAATAGGCATAGAAGGAAACTACCTCAACATAATAAAGGCCAAAAATGATAAACCCACAGCAAACATTATTCTCAACGGTGAAAACCTGAAAGCATCCCCTCTAATATCAGAAACAAGACAAGAGTGCCCATTCTCGCCACTATCATTCAACATAATTTTGGAATTCCTAGCTATGACAATCAGAGTTAAAGAAAACAAAAAGAATCCAGACTGGAAAGAAGTAGTAAAACTCTCACTGTTTGCAGATGACATGATACTATACACAGAAAACTCTAAAAATACCATCAGAAAATTACTAGAGCTAATCACAGGATACCAAATCAATACACAAAAACTACTTGCATTTCTATACACTAACAACAAAAAGTCAGAAAGAGAAATTAAAGAATGAATCCCATTTATCACTGCAACAAAAAGAATGCAATACATAGGAATAAATCAACTTAAGGAAACAAAGAGCTACATGTAGAAAACATAAGACACTGATGAAGAAGAAAACAAAGACAACATAAACGGATGGAGAGATATTCCATTTTCCTGAACTGGAAGAATCAATACTGTGAAAATGACTAAACCAGCAAATGCAATCTACAGATTCAATGTGAACCCTATCAAATCACCAACGACATTTTTCACACAACTAGAACCAAAAAAACCTCACAATTTGTATGGAAACACAAAAGACCCCAAACAGCCAAAGCAATCTCAAGAAAGAAAAAGGGAGCTGGAGGAATTAACGTTCCTGACTTCAGAGTATACTACAAAGCTACAATCATCAAGGAAGTATGGTACTGGCACAAAAACAGAAATATACACCAGTGAAACAAGACAGAAAGGCCAGCGATAAACCCTTATCTTTGACACAGGAGCAAGAATACACTGAGGCAAGGGAAGTCTCTCTAGTAAGTGGTGCTAGGAAAACTGGACAGCTACATGTGAAAGAATGAAACTAGAACACTTCCTAACATGATAGACAAAGATTAGCTCAAACTGGACTAAAGACCTAAATGTAAGACCAGAAACTGTAAAACTCTTAAGAGGAAAACATAGGCAGAACACTTTATTATATAAATCACAGGAAGATCCTCTGAGTCTCTTCCTAGAATAATAGAAAGGAAAACAAAAATGAACAAGTAAGACCTAATTAAACTTAAAAGCTTTTGCACAGCAAAAGAAACTATAAACAAGGTGAAAAGACAACCTTCAGAATGGGAGAAAATAACAGCAAATGAAACAACTGACAAAGGATTAATTTCCAAAATATATAAACAGCTTATGCAACTCAATAATAGGAAAGCAAATAACTAAGTCATTGGAATTAGTGGGCAAAAGACCTAAACAGACATTTCTCTAAAGAAGACATACAGCTAGCTAATAAACACACCAAAAGATGCTCAAGATCACTCATTATTAGAGAAATGCAAATCAAAACTACAATATCACCTTACACCCGTCAGAATGACCATCATCAAAAAAATCTTCAAACGATAAGAGCTGAAGAAGGTGTGGAGAAAAGGGACATGACATGTTGGTGCACTGTTAGGTGGAATGTAAACTGATGCAGCCACTATGGGAAGTAGTAAGGAGATTCCCTAAAAATCTAGGGCTAATCTACCATGTGACCCAACAATCCCACCACTAGGCATATACCCTGAGAAAACCGTAACTGAAAAAGACACATGTACCCTGATGTTTACTGCAGCACTATTTATAATAGCTAAGACATGGAAGCAACCTAGATGTCTATGAATGGATAAAGAAGCTGTGTACATGTACACAATGGAATATTACTCAGCCATTAAAAAGGGATGCATCTGAGTCAGTGCTAATGAGGTGAATAAATCTACAGCCTATTATACAGAGTGAAGTAAGTCAGAAGAGAAGAACAAATATCCTATATTAAGGCATATATGGAACCTAGAAAGATGGTACTGATGAACCTACTTGCCTGGTAGCAATGGAGATGCAAACACAGACAGACTTATGGACACAGGGGATGGAAGCAGGAGAGGGTGAGATTAATATAAAATGAATGAGATGAATATAAGAGGGTGGGATGAATAGAGAGAAGCATAGAACAGAAACATACATATTAACATATGCAAAATAGCCAGCCAGTGGGGGAATTTGCTGTGTAACTCAGGGAACTCAAACTGGGGCCAGTTGCAAGCTAGAGGGGTGGGATGGAGTGGGAGGCGGAAAGAGGTTCAAGAGGGAGGGAACATATGTATACCTATGGCTGATCCATTTTGATGTACAGAAACCAACACAATATTGTAATTATCCTTCAATTAAAAGTAAATCAGGAACTACAATGTAATCCTAAGCCACGTGAGAGCAGTAAAAAATGACAGAGCTCAAAGTAACATTTCAACTTAGCATCTTTAATGATGGGGTCAGGAATTACAGGACAGTTTCATGTCTGTTTAAAACATATTTTATGAAGCAGTTAACTTCTCTTGAAAAATCTGTATGCAGGTCAGGAAGCAACAGTTAGAACCGGACATGGAACAGCAGACTGGTTCCAAATAGGGAAAGGGGTGCATCAATGCTGTATATTGTCACCCTGCTTATTTAACTTAAATGCAGAGTACATCGTGAGAAACACTGGGCTGGATTAAGTACAAGCTGGAATCAAGATTGCCGGGAGAAATATCAATAACCTCAGATATGCAGATGACACCACCCTTATGGCAGAAAAACTAAAGAGCCTCTTGATGAAAGTGAAAGAGAAGAGCGAAAAAGCTGGCTTAAAACTAAACATTCAGAAAACTAAGATCATGGCATCTGGTCCCATCACTTCATGGCAAATAGATGGGGAAACAGTGACAGACTTTATTTTGGGGGGCTCCAAAATCACTGCAGATGATGACTGCAACCATGAAATTAAAAGAAGCTTGCTCCTTGGAAGAAAAGCTATGACCAACCTAGATAGCATATTAAAAAGCAGAGACATTACTTTGCCAACAAAGGTCCATCTAGTCAAGGCTATGGTTTTTCCAGTAGTCAACTAAGAATATGAGAGTTGGACTATAAAGAAAGCTGAGTGCCAAAGAATTGATGCTTTTGAACTGTGGTGTTGGAAAAGACTCTTCAGAGTCCTTTGGACTGCAAGGAGATCCAACCAGTCCATCCTAAAGGAAATCAGTCCTGAATATTCATCGGAAGGGCTGATGCTGAAGCTGAAACTCCAATACTTTGGCCACCTGATATGAAGAGTTGACTCATTGGCAAAGACCCTGATGCTGGGAGGGATTGGGGGCAGGAGGAGAAGGGGATAACAAGAGGATGAGACGGTTGGATGACATCACCAACTCAATGGACATGAGTTTGAGTAAACTCTGGAAGTTGGTGATGGACAGGGAGGCCTGGCTTGCTGCAGTCCCAGGTGTCGCAGAGAGTCCGACATGACTGAGCGACTGAACTGAACTGACCTGACTTCCCAAAGGCAGACAACTTGACTGAAACAATGTGAATTAATAAAATATCTGAATTACACAAAACATTTAAGAAAAAAAATGTATCTAATACAAAGATTAAAAATATAGGTAGCAAAACTATTTCTGGCAGAGGGCTGATTTAATTACTGGATTCAAATCACGTTATTTCCAACACAATATATGTTTTTATGTATTCTGTTAGGGGTCCTCAATTTTGTTTTCTTTAGACTTACTCTATTCTTAAGATTATTGTGTTATTCTACAATGATTTCCTCAATAGATGTTAACTTTAATTTGGTCTCTAAATTTTCAAATGAAGCATAAAGTCTAAATTAATATAGAATCAGATTTGGGCATTATGACTGCTAGAGCCAGTAATGTGGTTTCAAGGTAAACAAGGATTTTATTCAGTATTTTTATGTTTCAGAAGTCTTAATTTAATATATTTAACATCTTTTTTGAAAGTCTAAGTGAACCCTGGTTAAAAAGATCAGTGTCACTGGCAGGGAGTGTTAGTGTTATTAAACTCTGAATAGTGACTGTTCACTTCACGTCACTGACATTGTTTCCAATCAAAATATTCAGCATAATCCTACCCTGAAAAATGAAGACACACAAGTCACAAGCAAAACAAACTTGAAAATTTCATCCTATGTCCACACCAAAGTCTGTCAGTAAAAAGCAAGCACAATTCAAGAAAAGCACATCTGTGAAGTCTCAAAAAGCTATTTTCTCAGAATTATCTATCAAAAAAATTTCTAACTTGAAAATTATACATACTCACTTTAAAAGAGGACAGTGATAACACATGCTGTCATTCAATTTTAATAACATTTTTTATAACACCTTATGGAAAAACCTGGACAAACTTTTTGGCGAACCGTATCATGGTATTAAATGAATATAATGTAAAAATGTAAATTTAGAGTATTTTATAGAAACTGATGAGGATTCTTAAATTTTAGATAACCTTCTGCTATCAATTAAAAATGAAAGGCTAGGGACTTGCCTGGTGGTCCAGTGGTTAAGAATTCACCTTCCAAAGCAGAGGATGCAGGTTTGACACTTGGATGGGCAACTGGGGTTCCACGCACCTTGGGACAGCCAGGCCCACGTGACGCAACTAAGAAGCGCATGTGCCCCAACTACTGAGCCCGTGTGCTCTAGAGCCCATGTTCCACAACAAAAGAAGAGACGTGCCCATGTGCTGCAATGAAGACCCAGCACAGTCAAAGATTAAGAAAAAGAAAGGCCATAAACTCCGTACCTTTCCAACTGCTTCTGATGTTTCTCTTCTCTAGCCTGGGCCTTCATCTGCTGTACTTCAATAGTGTCAGGCTTCCTTCTTCGCATGTACAGTTCATGGTTTCCCATGCATAAGGCCAAAATCCGCTTATTGATTCTTAAACGAGGTGCATAAAAAACAAAATCCTAAACATAAAGGAGCCTGAATTTAAAATCTTCATGAAGGATAGTCCTTCCCACAATAATCTCTATAAAATTTTAACCTCTCCTATGAATTCTAATGTCATACTCCATATAGTTTAGAAATCACAGAATTTCTTCACTCCTTATGCCATACTTTCACAAAACTGGTTCCCTCACCCTTTCATTCCCTACTGGTTTTGTGGAGAAGCTAACATTCTTATCTTATCAATGTATTAAATGACATTTATTCTTTTTTCTTCTCCAAAGAAACTATGAACATCAATTCCTTCAACCTCAGAGGAGGATTTTTTGTTTGTTTTGCCTTTGCCATTAATCTCAAAATTGGATCTTTTTCAACTCTGTTAAACTTTTTAACCTAGAAATTTTCTCCATATCTTTGTGTTTTCAATAATTGAGCTAAAATACTAGGGTATACCTGACACTAGAGCAATTAAAAAAAACTATTTAAACATAAAGATTTCTTACGTTCAAGGCTTTGAGTTACAAAAATCCAAAGTTCATTATGTAATACTCTCTAAGCAAGTTAATTTAGAGAAGGGTTACCTCCACTAATTCTAGCCACCAACATGTTTTTTTTTAAATGGTGATTGTTTCCAACCATCTCCTACCCTATAGTTAAATCTCAGTTAAAATAAAACTGTGAAAAGGGTTACTTCTCAGAAGCAATTCAAAAAATAGACAATGTCGTTCTTCAAGTGCTAGCATAGCAAAGTGGCAGAAATTTAAAGAGTTAATACATAAACTAAAGGAATTTTACTTACAGGTGCCTTTTTGTCAATTGGCTTTATAACAAATTTTTTGTCATTAAATGAAATATTTCTGATTTCACTCCAGGGAAAACCAATTTTAGGTGTTAACCTTAAAGAATAAAAGCATGCTTTAAGATGAATATATTCTCATTATAAAAAGAAACTGACACGTTCCAGTTAAGTCCAAAGTCCCCACTGTCCACAATCCCCAATCCCAATCCTTCCCATCTTGAGCTCACCCCTCTTTCACATTCCCCATCTTTATTTGAAGTCACACCTCTAACAGATACTCTAACGGAAACTCTTTCAAAATTTTTAAAGGAAGAAAAGATTTCATCCACAAGATTTACTCTTCAGGTCATTTTTGCTTTTCATTCAAAACTTTCAAAATTTTCTCTTCTGAATCACATAGCATTTTAATTTGCTTTGTAATATATGAAAAAATATGAGAGTAAAAGCAGTAAAACACTCTCTTTTGGAATTATTGTATTTGCTGAGGAATGTATATTTTATTAGATACCTACAAATAATGAAAATAAAGTTCTGAGACCAGAATAAAAAGAAACATCTTGGAAAAAAGCATTACTGGCATAGACTTAAATGCTCATGTGACATGGTAAATAAAAGAAAGGTGTAAAATAACTACAGTTATCATTACTTAAAAGTTCTCTAAGAGCCTGACATATACATTCTGGGTCGATTTCAAAATAAAATGTCACTGTTCACTATGCATGATACAGCAATATTCTACTTTACTGATATCTAAAAATATTCAAAATAATTCTTATAAATGTTCAAACAAAAAGTGTTACAAAATACAGTAAATTACGACTTCACTTCACTCACTTCACTTCACTCACTTCATAATCACTGGAGAAGGAAATGGCAACCCACTCCAGTATTCTTGCCTGGAGAACCCCATGGACAGAGGACCCTGGCGGGCCATGGTCCATGGGGTCGCAGAGAGTCAGACACGACTGAAGTGTCTGAGCACGCATACACCTACAATTCATTGTCTCACTGCTGCTGTTTATGCATGTTAATTTCAATTTCAACCTACAGGCCAGGAAAACATTTAAGCAATCACTTTTCATCTATGAGAGAACAAATTTTAAGTTACCAGACATAACTCACAAGACATCAGGAAGCACACTTCAAAGAGAAGTGAAATCACCCTATTTGATAAATACACTTCTTGAGAAGTAGAACTCTGTAACTACAAGATTTTGAGAAAACAGGTATGTTATCTGAGAACCAATCCGACATTAATTAATCTTTTAATTTGGGGGCAAGGGAGAAGCAGTTATGAGTTATCAATCCCCAAGAGAACTTTACACGTAAGATTAAAGCCATACAGACTGCTGAATAAAGACTAGTTCACTATGCATCTAATTTACTTACTTGTCATCATGTTCATAAATATTCAGACCCAAAGCATCAACACCTAGCCACAATTCAGTTCCTTTCTTATTTTTTATTTCAAAATAGTTGACTCCATACATTTCTAGATCCTGTGCAATCTTCAAGTACTCCATCATAGAATCCTCCCTGTTAAAATAAAGCTAATTTTAACATATATAAAAATAAGATCAAACAAATTACAAAACAATTAGGATTAAAGTTTAGTGCTTTACATGTATTCATATAAGTCTAATAATCTTTGAGGGATACTCTGATATAATAAAAAGTGTTATGAAGAAAAAAACCTTAATTTGAGGAAAAACACTAAGAAAATAACCACTCAATCAATACCTTAGCATTCCTCTATGTTCTTCATGCCAATTCTGTATTCTTTCTTCCCACTGTTCTTTTGTCAGTTTGTGTTGCTCCAAAACACTGTAAGGAAAAAAAAAAAAAAATCTATAAAAATGCCCCTTAGATTCAAAATCAACATGCTTTTAAAAAGTCTAGAATTGTTCAGTACCTTAACTGTGGCAGTCATACAAAGCTATACACATGATAAAACTGCACCAATACATACATACACACACACAAATGACTGCAGCAACACTGATGAAACTTGAATGGGGTCAGTGGATGGCATCAATGCCAACATCTTCGTTGTGACATTGTACTGAAGTCATGCAAGATGTCACCATTAGGGAAGGCTTGGGGAAGGATACACAGGACCCAGACCTCACTACCATTTTTTATTGCAACTGTGTGTGAACCTACAATTAACTCAAAATATAGACTCTATGACCCTAAAATTATTTTACATCGAGTTTTAGAAATAGTTACATGGATAGTTTATGGGAATTCAAATGTTTGCAATGAATAAAATATTGTACCAAAAACAGGGAAAGTAACTTTCTCATGAATAATGAGATTTGAGAGGAACAAATCAAAAATCAGAATTCTTCTTTGCCTCTATGTATTTACTTGCTTTTATGCTAAATTTAATTTTTATGTTTTCTACAGGTATACTTTTATATAAGTTTACAAGTGAAAAAAGCATTTTTTTCACCACCCCCCAAGCTTCAAGTAACTTACTAGTTTCTTTTGTATCATTTAAGTGTTTCTTCTACAAATGTAAGCAAACATGAACAAACATTCTTATTTTCAACACTTAAATCGAACACCTTTACAGCACTTAAATTTGCACATTTTTCTTATCTTAATACTCTCTTGCCATCTGCCCTCTGTGCTCATCAAGAGGCAAGCCTTGAGGGCAATGTAATGCAATGCAATGCAGCCAACTGCAGAAATGACAATGTTAAGAAAATCTGAATGTACAGGTTAATTAAATTGAATGCCACTAAGATTTATGTTCTGGCTTTTTATATTAAGCATCTCAAATCTCCCTCGTTTCCATTTTATATAAGTACTTGCATTATTAATCTGCATGACTGGTTTGCAGGTATCTAAAAATTCCCACTTTGGAAAAGAATATGGAAAAGAATAGACATACGTTATGTATAACTGAACCACTTTGCTGTACACTGAAAGTAACACACTGTAAATCAAATATAATGTCCCAATATAAAATAAAAATTAAACTAAAAAAAAAGAGAACTTCCCTCATTGCTCAGTGGTTAAGAATCCACCTGTCAACGCAGGGGACACAGGTTTGATTCTTGCAACGAGAAGATCCACATGCTGTGGGGCAACTAAGCCGGTGGGCCACAACGACTGAGCCCTAGTGGAGGTCGCTGTGGGCTATTTGAGACAGTGGAAGCTGGGTAGAGCCCCCAGGGTTCCCTGTCCCCAGTGCAGGATGCGGAGGCACTAGCCGGGGCCCATTTGTCCAAACTGCACACCCAGCTCTCCCCTGCGCTGCACGGCTCTCTGCGCCCCAGGCCGCCCTGGCCAGAACTCGTCGGTCAAGGCCCCAAGCACCGCGCCTCCCGCTGGACTCCGCCACCCCAGCACCTGGTCCAGCGCTCACCACCGTGCCCAGTGCGCTAGGGCCTCCCCAGCCCAGCCCATACTGCGCAGGGGCCGTACCCCTGCCCCCAGAGCCAGGCAATCCGGGGCACGGGTCCCCTCACCAGACTGCCACTGCCGCCTCAGGCCTCCAAGACGAGACAGGGCCCCAGGGCCCCGCCATGAGCTTTCTGGAGACCTTGGCCCTGAGCTCTGGGGGGTGGGAGGGGGCTGGGGAAAGAGACTCTAGCCCAAGGGCAGCAGAGGCACCCGGTATCGGGTGAGAAGGTGCTGGGGAGGGCGCTGGTCGCATGTGGGTGAGATGTGGTCTATAAATAGGGTATCTATATTTCCCTGGCTTCTGTCCTTTTCCCTGCCCTCCTTGCTCTAGGATTGTACCTCCTCTGCTCTCAGCCCAGCCCCAGCCCCTTCCAGAGTCCCTAGTGCATGGAAGAAAGTGAAAGTGAAAGTGAAGTCGCTCAGTCGTGTCTGACTCTGCAATCCCGTGGACTGTAGCCCACCAGGCTCCACCGTCCACGGGATTCTCCAGGCAAGAATACTGGAGTGGGTTGCTATTTCCTTCTCCATGGAATAAAGTGGTTATTAAATCTCACCCCCGCCAAAAAAAACTGACTCTAAATGACCCTAGAGCCTGCAACTACTGAGTCCATGGGCCCTAGAGCCTGTCCTCTGCAACAAGAGAAGCCACTTCAGTAAGAGACCCGTGCACAGCTAGAGAGTAGCCCCCACTTGCCTCAACTACAGAAAGCCTGTGTACAATAGGGAGACTCAGCACAGCCAAAAATAAAAAACCTGAAAAAAATTTTTAAAGAAAAAAAAAAAAAAATTACTGAGAGGTGGGTGGGGAAGCTAAATCTTCCGTCCAGAAAAAAAAGGAGTCTTTTCTTCATGAAAAGGCTAATCTGTTTCACCTTGGCTTTAAATCTATTTGGGCCTTTAAATGACTTGTGAGTGTGTGTGCGTGCAAACACACTAAGTCACGTCCCACTGTGCGATCCCATGACTGTAGCCCCCCAGGCTCCTCTGTCCATGGGATTTCCCAGGCAAGAAAACAGAAGTGGGTTGCCATTTCCTTCTCCAGGGGATCTTCCTGACCCAGGGGTGGAACCGGCATCTCTTGTGTCTTCTGCATCGGCAGGTGAATATTCTTTACTACTGTGCCTCCTGGAAATCCCTTTAAATGACTTTTTCCTCTATTTTCTCAGGAAATATTTTCTCACTCCATCATTTACCATCCCTGCCTATCTATATTACCAGATACACACACATCTCAGAGATATTTTTGGTTCACTTTCAGATCACCTCAACAAAGCAAGTTACACAAAATTTTCAGTTTTCTCGTGCGTACAGAGGTTATGGTTATACTATACTGTATTAAGTGTGCAACAGCATTCTGTCCATAGAAACAATGTACATACTAAAATTTAAAAATACTTGTTAAAAAAGAAAAAAAGTAACCACCATCTGAGGCTTCAGAATGTCATAATCATTTTGCTAGTGGAGGGTTTGAAATAGTGCAGGAAGCCCCAACCTGATAGAGATACATGAAGTGAGCTAAAGCTGCTGGAAAAAAAATAGTGCTAACAGACCTGCTTGATGCTGGCTGCCACAAACCTTCAATTTGTAAAAAAAAAAAAAAAAAAAACAGTACCTACAGAGCACAGTAAAGCAAAGCGCAGAAAAAGGAGGTATGATAGTATACTCATTTGCGTGAAGCACACAACACTCACATCCATGTTGCTCGCCAATTATGCCGAGTGCCAAAACAGAAGAGGCAAAAATGTGTAGAGTGAATAAAGGAATTAATTATTTTCCATCTTTTAAAGAACACTTTAAACCCATGCTCCCCTCCTCTTAGTTTTTTTTCTTTATCACAGCCAAATTCCTTTCGGGAACTGTTTGTATTTACTGTCCTTTATTTCTACACCTCACATCACTGCCCCCAGTCTACCACAATCTGGGTTCAACCCTCAACACTCTACTTAACTGCTCTTACGGGTTTCCCTGGTGGTCCAGTGGTTGAGACTCCACGCTCCCCATGCAGGGGGCATGGGTTCGATCCCTGATAAGGGAATTAGATCCCACATGCCGCAACTAACTGCAGGCTGCCAATTAAGAGCTCACATGCTGCAACTAACCTCGAGCCACAACTAAGACCCAGTGCAGCCAAATAAAGAAATAAATATTTAAATAAATAAATAAATAAAACTGATCTTACACTGGAGATGTCAGTAGGTTCAAAACTGACATCTTCATTCTCTGAAATGGGTTCCTTCTCACCTTGAAAAGCTATTGCAAACCACCCAGATACCCAAGTCAGAAACCTGGTACAGAAAAACATGCATATCTAGCTCTTTTCAAGAGAGAGGGATAGTATCTGTGGGGCTGACTATTCCTATCAGCAGACTGCTAAACTCTACTGTGGGAGACCAGATTGCTTATCTGGGTTTTTCAATACAAGGATTATAAACATCCATCAAAATCATCAAATTTATGTATTTGATTTAGGTTCACCAAATAACATGATTACTAATTTTCCCCCAGGCACTTAAGTGATAAAAGTTTGTTATATAGTATACATGGAATCTGGCTTCCCTCACAGTTCAGTTGGTAAAAATCCACCTAAAATGCAGGAGATCCCAGTTTGATTCCTGGGTCAGGAAGATCCGCTGCAGAAGGGATAAACTACCCACTCCAGCATTCTGGCCTGGAGAATTACATGGACAGTCCATGGGGTCGCAAAGAGTCGGACACGACTGAGCAACTTCCACTTTCATACATGGAATAAAATCAATGACTTGAAAGTATCTCCTCCATTCTAAACTAAAAACTTAGTATTCTGACATTATGGATTTCTTTTAAACTTAGATAACTTGAATGAATCCTCCTGAGACTAACAATTTGAAGGACACCTGACTGGACCTTCAAAGTTAAAAACCAAATCTTGAGCAGCAGGTGCTATCTTTCTTCTTCCTAAATAGGATTGGGTTTCTCTAGGTCTCACAGACTAGAGAACAAACTTATGGTTGCTGGGAGGAAGGGATAATTAGGGAGTTTGGGATGGACATGTATACACTGCTATATTTAAAATGGATAACCAACAAGAACCTACTATAGCACATGGAACTCTGCTCAATGTAACGTGGCAGCCTGGATGAGAGAGGAGTTTGGGAGAGAATGGATGTATGTATATATATGGCTGAGTCCCTTCTTTGTTCACCTGAAACTATCACTATGCTGTTAACCAGCTATATTCTGATACAAAATAGAAAGTTTAAAAAAGCAAATAATTTTTAAAATTAAAAAGAAAAAAAACTCATCTGAAATGCAATTCTACTACACTGGTAATCAATTACTCCATTCAATGCTTACAAAATCTGAGACACTGAATTTTGGGTTGGACCAATAGTTATGAACAGACTGACAAGTATCTCATACTCCTGTTTCTTTCAATAAATAATATATAATATATACTATTAAAACTATTAGTTATAAAATTAAAGAGAAGAGTACATAACATTTAATGATCAATTACTAAATCTAATGTACTTAATGGTACCTAAAAAGCATACAGCAACAGAATATAATTTACTAACCAAAATTAATTGTTAATGCTACAACCAAAGGAACTTAATAATAAAAACAGACATAAAGTAGTTTTGATTTCTTCATATTTAGTACCTACAAAAAAGAAATTACACTTAAGAGCTTAAATGAGGAAGTGATAGAGAACTTAAATTTTAGGTTAATAATATGCAGTTCTGCCTTTAAATAGAAATTTTAAAATTCAGGAATCTGTGCAAATAGTAATAATTTCTCTGGATTCTAGAGAAAAGTCCCTATGTACATTCTAACATCAGGGTCGTGTATACTACTACCATTAAGAACTGAAATGTTCAAAAGTAATGTTCCATGTAATTTCTAGATTTTATAAATAATACTACCAACTAACAGTTGTATCACACTTTACAATTAGGACTGTAAAGCACACAGTTCACGAACTGCAGTCATAAACATAAGCTGACAGAGCAGAACTGTTACCCTCACTGTGCAGAGTGAGACACTAAGGCCACACAATTAGCAGAGGGTAGAACTGGCATTTAAAACCAAGGCCTGCTAATGATGTTTTCCTGCAGCATGCTACCTTGAAATAACTGTTATATTGAAACCGAGTCTCCCGAAAGCAAGTTCTCCTACTGAGTTTTTATTAACCTCTACATGCAAAGCTTCTTTGCCTTCCCTTGCCCCCTCTGACTTCAGTCCTGTGCTAACTGAACACTTAATCAGCCAACAGCCAGATGACTAAAGCTGCTGTTGTCAATAACACTATTAACTGCTACTATACTAAAACTGCTATTATAGATATCATCAGTAATGTACAAACTCAGGTTATTTAGCAGACCCCCCAGTCACGGGCCACCTAGCCAGAGAATCTTAGACCACAGACTTCTGACTCCCAAGCTGTCACAAAACAATGATTAATTCTAGCGTCTTTGTTCTTTCCCTTTAATAAGCACCTAACTCAAAGATCAGGTGGGAGTGGATCTGAGACTTCTCTCTCACTCCCTTGTTTGGTACCCTGCAATAAATGCTGTACTTTCCTTCACCACAAACAGGTGTCATTAGATCGGCTTTCCTGCGTCTGGGGAACAGACCTGAGTTCAGAACAGGCAGCAGTATGCTGCAGATGGGAACAGAGCACTAGACTAAGAGTCCAATAACCAAGCTTAAAAAGTCTTTTGGAAAGTTAGAAATTTAATTTTAATTCTATGGAGGAAATGTAGCCTGGAACTTACTATTTTCAAAAACATTTATTAAGCAACAGTCTACCTGCATGAGAATTTTTACTAATAAGTAGCAACTCATGCCTCCTCAAGCCCAAATTATGACTGCCTCCACTTACTGCTTATCTGTGAGAATGAGGAGAGACAAAATGTTTAAGTAATTACAGAGTACATAAATCTATGTAGCTTCTGGGTCATAACTTTTTAAAGTATACCCTAACCCAACTGGCAAATTAAAAATCTAAAAAAAAAAAAACAAAAAAAAAACCAAAAACACAACCATTTACAAACTTCTAAAATAAGATTTTTCAGAGACTATAGTGTAAACGCATGCTTCACTTACCGCTGGGGGAGGAGTCTGTCATTAGCCAGGTAGCCTGGTTTATGAATCTCTTTATTATAATCTCCATACTTGGCTTGGACAGCATAAGAAGCCAAAAGAACTGCAGTTTCTGGTGGACAATATATCTCATCATTTAATATAGCTTCTTTAACTTGCAAGAAGAAAAGTCTCTGGGTTATTTCTTGAATTAATTCCTCAGAAACATCTTCAGGAAAGAATTTAGCTCTAAATTTGAATTGCAAAGGATTCTCTTTTTTAACATCTTGCTGTGTCACCTGTAATGGTAATTTCAAGTATATTCAATAAAAATCTTAGGTTCACAATAACTGACCATAGTCACATAATATTCTCTTTTGGTACAAAATAGGATATAAAACATAAGATTCTAAATCTATTAAGTAAGATTTTAAACCTTTAATAAATGTGAGAAAAAGATTCTATGCTTATGAATGTGACTGATAACTCACAGATCCTAATTAATAACCTAATTGAAATTTCTTCAGAGCAACTTATCCTGAAGATGTTTAAATTAAGATCAAAGTACTAAGCAATACCTTATAGTATTTCTTACTGCTGAGTTTTCAAATAGGAAAAAATGAACATTTCTGTTTTTGAAGATGATATGGTGATGGTACCTTAGTAAATTAAAAGACATGACTCCTCTAATGATTCACAGAGATAACTATAAAAGAGGCTTAAAATCAGTCAGACTCTGAGTTTTTCTCGCTCAGTCTGATTTAACATGATCAAGATTAACTTCAAAGCAACTTAATTATTAGCTAGATATGTTATCATACACAGTTTACCTTTTTATTTAGTTTAAGCCATGTAGAATAGCCCTTGCTGTCCATGTACTGCAGCCCAAAAAACCAGACTTCACGCAAACCAACTGTTTTCACCACCTTAAAAAAAAAAGTTCAGTTCAACACTCACATTGTAACCAGAAGGCACTATACTTCAAAGGAAGAACAAAACCACATGGAAATTATAGTAAAGATCTTTCCTAAATTTAACATACTAATTAAAGGAATATTCCTAAAAATTTAAGTTCAGGTTTTATTAAATCCCATAATGTCATTTCAACCTATCTGATCCACTCTTCCGTGTGCCTTTTCCTTCTCATGTGCCGACATGACCCTAACAGATAAAAAGAAGAATCTGGGCAAAAGACACAGAGCTGTCCTAATCCCACTTTCCTATTTCAGTTTACCCTTCCCCCAACCCAAATTATACTATCAAGTAGCGCAAACAAACACTATCATTTTGGTAGGAAGACTCTCTGAGGACCTGTAAATGCCATGCCTCAGGCTATCCAGCTGCTGCTTTCACCTCCATTCCTACGTCCCTTCACTCAGCCTCATATATTATATGTTCTACTCTCACTGAGCAAGAAACCATTCTTAGAACATGCCATAAATTTTACCCTTCTATACCTTTGCTCACGCTTCTTCCCCTCCCTAGAATGTTTCTTCTGTACTTTTATTTTTCTTTGCTTTTCTTCTGTACTTTTACCACCTGTTAAATAATGTATTCCTCAAGGCCCAACTCCGGAGAAGGCAATGGCAACCCACTCCAGTATTCTTGCTTGGAGAATCCCATCAACGGAGGAGCCTGGTGGACTGCAGTCCATGAGGTCGCTAAGAGTTGGGCACGACTGAGCGACTTCACTTTCACTTTTCACTTTCATGCATTGGAGAAGGAAATGGCAACCTACTCCAGTATTCTTGCCTGGAGAATCCCAGGGACGGGGGAGCCTGCTGTCTATGGGGTCGCACAGAGTCGGACACGACTGAAGTGACTTAGCAGCTACAGCAGCAGCAAGGCCCAGCTCAACTAACATGCTTCTGTGAATGAAGCTTTCCTATCATCTAGACAAAATTAATCACTTGGTCCTTAGTAACTCCACAGTACTTTATTTATACTGCTGGTTAAACTTATTTTATCATAATTAATTATTATTAGTAGAGTGTCTATTTACCCTCCTTGGCTGTTTAAAACTAAAGAAAATATTACTGCTTTATTCATCTTAATATTCATGTCATTTCCAAGAATGACTAGTCTGTAGTAGGTACCCAAGAGTACTACAGAGTAACTAAAGTGGTAAGCTAGGATTATTAACTCACACTCAGGATTATGCCAACAAAAGCATATTTTTAAATCTATATTTAAAATGAGGGAGGTGAGAGTTTATTAGGACTTTAAAAGCTTTACAGAAGATTCAATATTAGTTCTTAAGTAGTAAACATTCTTGGTTTAAAACAAATAATAAAAAATATTTCTTCTAAAATAAAAATCTAAAAACATGCCGGGCTTTTGGTTTCAAGATGGTAAATGGAACCCTTCAGTTTCCTTTCCCTCTTGAAAAAATTTCACTGAAATGGCACATACAAAAATTAAAAATAAGAAAAAAAATTTAGGTGTGGAAAAAAAAAAATTTAGCTGTATCAGGAAAGGTTACCACATTAAAAAAAAGAGAGAATTCTCTGAATGATATGGTATATAAATACCCACAGTGATAGCAAAAGCTGATCAATGCCAAACAACCAAAACTTGAACATGGACAAAGGAGACCCCAGAAAATTTAACTTTGGCAAAAGATAGGCTGTCCCAACAGAGCCACAGAAAATATTTCAGCTCAGAGTGGCAGAAACAAGAAATGTCAAGAGCAGTACCAAAGCAGCAAGCCTCAGTTCTGTCTCCAGGCTTTCTGTGAGTCACAATGCTGCTAAGTAAAAAAGGGATCTGCCAGTAGGGCACAAGGGACAGCCTCTTAACTTCAGACTGTCACAACACACACCAGAAAAGTAAGAGACCACAGTTGTGAAATTCCTTAACAGGCTCCATCTTTCCCTATTTCTGAAAGTCTTCTAGCGAACTTTAAATCATGCATCTACAAGTAAAAACATATTGTAACTACAATATATGCATATTTATTTATAAGTTATACATATGCTATCACATTAATGTATCAGAAAGCCTATCCTAAAAAATTAAAAGATAAAAATACAAACAAACATTTTTAGCATTTTTTTCTTGCATCGTAACAGATGACGCTGAGTAGTATTCTAATCCCATAGGGATAATACTATTCTAATCCCATAGGCATAAACTGGAAGAGGCGGCCAGTGAAGAAAAAGTCAGCAGGTATCAAACCAAAGGACCTCACAAACTCAACCAGAGCCCCTCCACAAGGCAGATGGCTTCAAGCTGACATCCTAATCGGAAGTGAGGTTTTGCTACAGGTAGATTCATCTGAGAGAACTCCTGCCCCTAGGTCTGCTGGTCTGACTCTGAACCTACTGACCTTGACCTGACAGCTAGCTCACCCACATACTCAACTTCACCCAAGGTAACACCAGATTTGGATCTGGAATTTGGGCTCAAGTTGCCAAGATACAGAACAGGGACTACAAGAATTAACTGCTGAGACAGGCTGGAACAGACAGCAACACTCTTTAACTTAGATCTTTTCACTTACAATATGAAATGTGTGTGTGTTTGTGTATCAAACACTGTTCTACATAGTTTACACTTCTGAAGTCTCAATTAATTCTGACAAAAACCTTCTGAAGGAATAATGTTACCATCATCCTAACTGTACAAATGAGAAAAATTGAGACAAAGTAATTTGTATGAAGTCAAACAGCGACATCTGGGACTCTACCTCTAGCAGTGTGGTTCCAGAGCCCATGTTTTTCAACTAGTACACATTACTGCATCATAAAACATGTAGTTTCCTTTTTCCTGGCATCTAAACTAAAGCAAGTCTGCTTAGAAAAAAAACAAATATTTTATTTCTCACTAACCAATTCCAAAAAGGCCCATGTGCTAATTTGTTTTTGACTAACACAAAACATTTTGCTCACTATAAATAACATTTTAATTTGCTATGAGTACAGTAAATGCTAACTCCATCCACATTTTTATTCATGTAAGATAGCTTATGTACTTACAAACATGAGACCTAGAAGAATCAACAGAAGTATTAGTTCACAAAAGTAAAATATCTATAACATAAATTGCATGCAATTTTTTACGATGATGCCTTAAAAGACTGCTCACTCACAACAAAAAAATTCTTTCATCTCCAAAAAGATTTTATCTGGGCGTTCAAGTTCATTAATTATCTAATTAGTAGATTAAGTTTATTAGCTAGTAAAGGGAAGAAACAACTTCCCAGGAGTTTTAAATTTTTATTTCATCATATTTGGGATCAGCAGGTAATTAGTATGTTATTTATTGCTGTAATACCAGGAACTCTCCCATTTCCTAAGGTCAATAGTTAGTATGACCACAGACTACTGCTCTCCTGATCATAAGTTCTTGTCAAAGTTCATGTAAAAGCTACCTCCTCCTTTTTGCAATCAATTCGCTTCTTAAACACTTGACCCCCTAGTCACCAATCTCTTTCCTCCTTTTCTCAATAAAACTTGACTACTTAAATCATTATATACAGCTTTAGCTGGGGAGCCTCAATAAAAGTACTAATAGTTTAGAGTAAGTCCCAGGCAATCAAACAGAATCTCTAGAGGTGGTTTCCAGGCACTGCTTTATTTTTCTCTTTAAAACTCCCCAGGGTGGCTCAAGTGCACACTCAAGAGTGATAAAAAGGACAAAATCAATAGTTCAAGTTCTTTAACATGACATCCATGTTCTAACTCCAGGCTAGCATATTAAGAGCCTAGGACATCAAACTGCTATCAGGGCCCTATTTATAGCTTACGCCTCTGCTCCTGCCAGCTCCTTGAAACCCAAGTTCCCCTGCCGAGTTTATGATTAATCTCTCTATCCAACTTTACTTCCTTTCTTGTCCCCTCTGACCTTAATCCTGTGCTAACTGAACATTAATCAACCAGAGTCAGATGGCCAAAACTGCTACCACTGTTGATAATACCAATAATGTAGTAAAACTGCTCTTGTATCATCATACATCATCAACACACAGGATACTTCTCCAGGGCAAGATAAGCGAAGAGACCCTCGGATAACGAAACCAGAGACATCCTGACTAACCAAACCAAAGCTACAATTAAGAAATGTAATAGAAATATCACATAATGATTAACCCCAGCTTCTTTGTTCTTTCCCTTCTATAAAAAACCTCTAACTCAAAGACCAAAGTTGGAGTGGATCTGAGACTTGTCTCCCACTCCCTTGCTTGGGGCCTTGCAATAAACACTTATTCCACTGCAAACTCTCACTGCTGAGTCTGACTTTCTGTGCCCTGGGCAAAGCCCATTGCTGGTTTACCCACTCTGTCTAGGATCTCCACCTATTCCACTCACTGACTATGGAGAGTATCACTGAATTCCTTGTAGTCCTCATTACAATGATTTGCATATCAGATGATTAATAAATACCTAGTAATTATTTTCTTAAAGTACCATCTCTCAAATCTAGGAATAAGAAAGACTATCCCTACAGTTGTTCAAGACATCTGAACAAGTACTGTGAAAAACTCCAAATGCTACATTGTAGCATTTTAAGTAAAGGTATAGAAAAACACAGAAAGAAGTATGCAATAGCATGCACACTATGGTGTCAAAATTGCATACTTCATGTAGTGAATGATACCTGGTCAAAAAGCTGTTTGCCAGTTGTGTTGGGCTGAATGGCAAATTCCAACTCAGCATCCATCGTTGTTACTCTTACATTGATCTGCAATAAAAACAAAAGGTATAATCAGTAGAAAAAAGAAAATACTTAAGTATAATGTCAGGCATGAGAAAATATTTAAGCAATTAAAAAACAACTCAATATAGATAATATTTTCTTTATTGATACTTTATTTATATTTTTGATTTATTGAATACTTAACATACTGGAGGTGCCAGGCCTGGTGCTTTTCACATTCTTGTTTAGTTTCTACAACAATAGCAGGAGATATGTGCATTTCCACAGAAGTGTTCATTTATATAAAAAACTCTTTGTCACTTGCCCAAGAACACACAGATACTAAAAAGCAGGGCAGGTATTTAACTGAGGTACAACTCCAAATTCTTTGAATGCCATTCACTATTCCATATTTCTTTCAACACAAAAATCCATTATTTAGTTTTATTTATACTGTAAATGTATTCTTTATAAAAAGCATTCATCTATTGCCTTTTACTTGCTAGACTTTTTCAAATTCTGATTTTTATATGTAAATACCTTCTTAGGTTAAATATCTGACCACAAATGTAACATGCTTAACCAAAGTAATTTTTATTCCAGAACAGCATCTTCACCTAGAATCCACCGTGACATGGTAAAAACCTATCTTTTAACTCACACTAGAACTCTGATTCAGACTTATTTCCCCTTATCTTTAACTCATTCTAAAAACCACATGTATCTCCACACATGTACTTTTATCTGAAATACTTTCTCCAAAAATATCTTATAGAGCTCCTCCTTTATAATAATTTAGGAAATATTTAATACACACAAAATATATGTAACATATATAGACAATGAAGCATAATAAAATAAACAATGGTAATATAATAATAAATACATATTTGGTCTTTATCCTGGTTCCCAGCAGAGCTCCTAAAATCCTTGAAATTCCCTGAGTAATAGATGTGAGAGGATTTTGTTATTCATAACAAGCTCCTCTCAACCATACCAGAGTTTATGCTAATGGGTGACTCTAGATGGGCCCTAATAGCTTTAGAATGGGGGCCAGTACCCAGAGAAACCAATCATGCCATTGAGGACTGAACCTTTCAGCCACCCATCCCAACTACCCAGGAGGGTGAATGGTGAGGAAGGAGAGCTGATCTCCAAGGTCCAATGATTTAATCAATCATGCCTATGAACTGGAGCTCCATAAAACCCTAAACAAAGAGGTTCAGAATGCACCCACTTGCTGACAGGGTGGTGCATCGCAAACTCCACAAAGACAGAAAGAAGCTACTCAGGACTCTTCTGGACCTCGTCCCCTAAATCCGTACTCTTTATAGTTTCCTTTACATTAACCAGTCAGTAACAGCAGTAAAGTGTTTCCCAGATTTCTGTGAGCTGTTACAGCATATAACAGAACCTGAAGAGGGGATTGTAGGAATCTCCAAACCTTAGCCAAGTTAGCCAGGAGAGAGAGTCACATGCATTACCTGTGATTAGCTTCAGCAGTCCAGTGGTCTGGGCCCTTAATCTCTGGGGTTTGAGTTAACTCTGGGTAGCTGTGTCAGAATATACTAAACTGCAGGACGCACACCTGGTATCCACATAGAACCCGGGAACTGATTGGTATGGAAAACGCACACATCCAGTAACATTTTGAATTACAAAAGTGTTTTCCTTTACCCATAAATCTACCATTCAACTTAAAAACTAGAAATGACAAAGCAGTGTCACCAGTATATTTCTTCTTTGTGAATTTCTGGGACCCCAATCTCTACAGGTAAGCACTAACCTAAATTTTCTGTTTGTGATCCTCTTAGTTTTTATTTAAAACAATTGTGCTATCACAAATGTAGGTATCTATGGTAAAATATTATTTAGTTTTTTATTTTTAGCTGTTTTGTTATTGTTCAGTTGCTAAGTCATATCTGACTCTTGCAACCCCATAGACTGTATGTAGTCTGCCTGGCTTCTCTGTCCATGGGATTTTCCAGGTAAGAATACTGGAGCAGGTTGTCAGTTCCTTCTCCAGGGGATCTTTCTAAAATTGTATAGTACCTGCTAATAAAGTCTTCCTTGATGTGGGCAACAATTACAATATGTATTTACTTTATGAAAATGCATCAGCAGCACACATATTCTTTTGCATATGTATATTCTAATTCAATAAAAAGTTTAAACAAAAATTTTGCTAAACTATAATTTGCCTTTCCAGTTATATTTCTAAGACTCATTGATGTTTTTGTTAGTAGTTGCAATTCATTCATCTTTATGTGACTAGAGAGTAATTTATTTATCATTTTCCTATCAACTGACATTGAATTGTTTCCAATTTTTTGGTTATTAAGAACAAAACTGCTGTGAATGTTCTTGTACATGTCTCCTAGTACAAGTGTCTGAATTTCTCTAGAAGTATAACTTGGAAGAACCCCTGGGTGACAAACTACACACCTTCAACTTTACAACGTATGCTGAATTGTCTTCTAACACAACAGCATCAATTTACACTCCCAACAACAGTGAATAAGAATTTCTGCTGCTTTGTATTTTCACTAGTAGTTATCAGATTTGCTAATGTTTAACAACCTAGTAGGTATAAACTGATATCTCAGTATGTTATTAATACGCAGATTCTTGATTCCTAATGAAGTTGGGAACATTTTCTTATGTGTATATGCAGAATTATAAGACAGCCCTCATGACTTCCCCAACCCCTACAATTTACTCCCATGATTACATTAACATTACATGATAAAAGGGATCTTGAAGATGTACTTAAGGTTACTAATCAGTTGATCTTAAGATAGGAAAATTATTGTGGGTGAATCTGAATTAATCTCACCAACTCTGCAACCCCATGGACTGTAGCCCATCAAGCTTCTCTGAACAGTAAATTACCCTTAACTAAAAAGACAATTATAATGCCCTAGGTTAGAATTTCTCCAATTTCATAGTCTCAGGATCTCCTCATGCTCTTCCCAAAAAGCTTTTATGTGAGTTCTCTATCAATATTCACATTAGAAATTAAAACTGAGAAAATTTTTAAGATATTAACTTAAATATAACAAGAATAAACCTATCAGATATTAACATAAAAAACATCAAATAGGCTTTTCGAAAAAGCCTACTTTTAAGTCTGTTTAAAAAAGGCCCAGAAGGCTAACTTCAGAGCTATTTCATTTGATTCTAGGAGTAATTCCATTGCTGTTCAGTCACTAAATTGTGTCAAACTCTGAGCAACACCAATGATTGCATCATGCCAGGATTCCCTGTCCTGCACTATCTCCTGGACGTTGCTCATCACAATTAAGTTGGTAATGCCATCCATCCATCTCATCCCTTTGTCGCCCGCTTCTGCCCTGAATCTCTCCCAGGATCAGGGTCTGTTCCAATGAGTCAGTTCCTTGCATCAGGTGGCTGAAGTACTGGAGCTTTAGCATCAGGTCTTCCAGTGAACACTCAGGGTTGATTTCCTTTAGGATTGACTGGTTTGACCCCCCTGCTGTCAAAGGGATTCTCAAGAGAGTCTTCTCCAGCACCACAATTCAAAAGCATCAATTCTTCAGTACTCGGCCGTCTCTATGGTCCAACTCTCACATCTGTACATAACTACTGGAAAAAGCACAGCTTTTGACTAGACGGACCCTTGTCAGCAAAGTGATATCCTTGATTTTTAACAGATTATCTAGATTTGTCATAGCTACCCATTCCAATATTCTGGCCTGGAGAATTCCATGGACTAAGTCCATGGGGTCGCAAACAGTTGGACACAAATGAGAGATTTTCACTCCTTCCAAGGAGCAAGCATCTTTTAATTTCATGGCTGCAGTCACCATTTACAGTGATTTTGGAGCCCAAGAAAATAAAATCTGCCAATATTTCCAATTTTTTCCCATCTATTTGGCATGAAGAGATGGGACCGGATGCCATGATCTTAGTTTTTTGAATGTTGAGTTTTAAGCCAACTTTTTTACTCTCCTCTTTCACTTTCATCAAGAGGCTCGTTAGTTCTTTTTCACTTTCCGCCATAAGGGTGGTGTGTCATCCAGCCCAGTGTTTCTCATGATGTACTCTGCATATAAGTTAAATAAGCAGGGTGACAATATAAAGACTTGACGTACTCCTTTCCCTATTTGGAATCAGTCTGTTGTTTCATGAGCTGCATACAGGTTTCTCAAGAGACAGGACAGGTGCTCTGGTATTTCCATCTCTTTCAAAATTTTCCACAGTTTGTTGTGGTCCACCCAGTCAAAGGCTTTGGCATAGTCAATAAAGCAGAAGTAGATATTTTTCTGGAACTCTCTTGCTTTTTCGATGATCCAGCGAATGTTGGCAATTTGATCTCCGGTTCCTCTGCCTTTTCTAAATCCACCTTGAACATCTGGAAGTTCACGGTTCACGTATTGCTGAAGCCTGGCTAGGAGAATTTGAGCATTACGTTGCTAGCATGAGAGATGAGTGCAATTGTGCAGTATAGTTTGAGCATTCTTTGGCATTGCCTTTCTTTGATACTGGAATGAAAACTGACCTTTTCCAATCCTGTGGCCCTGCTAAGTTTACCAAATTTGCTGGCATATTGAGTGTAGCACTTTCACAGAATCATCTTTTAGGATTTGAAATAGCTCAATTAGAATTCCATCAGCTCCACTAGCTTTATTTGTAGTGATGCTTCCTAAGGCCCACTTGACTTCACATTCCAGGATATCTGGCTCTAGGTGAGTGATCACACCATTATGATTATCTGGGTCATGAATATCTTTTTTGTATAGTTCTTCTGTATATTCTCGCCACCTCCTCTTAGTATCTTCTGCTTCTGTTAGGTCCATACCATTTCTGTCCTTTATTGAGCTCATTTTTGCATGGAATGTTCCCTTGGTATCTCTAATTGTCTTGAAGAGCTCTCTAGTCTTTCCCATTCTATTGTTTTCCTCTGTTTCTTTGCACTGATCACTGAGGAAGGCTTTCTTATCTCTTCTTGCTATTCTTTGGAACTCTACTTTCAAATGGGAATATCTTTCCTTTTCTCCTTTGCCTTTCACTTCTCTTCTATTCACAGCTATTTGTTAAGGCCTCCTCAGACAACCATTTTGCCTTTCTGCATTTCTTTTCATTGTGGATGGTCTTGATCCTCCTGTACTTATTCAGACAGTTTTCCAAAGTAGCTGTGAATTTCACATCCCTACCAGAAATAAGAGTTCCAGTTGATGCACATCCTCACAGACATGGTCTTTACAGTCTAATTTTAGCCCCTCTAGTAAGGATAAAGTGGTTTCTCACTGTAGTTTTATTTTTCCCTGAGGATCTTTTCAAGTGTTTATTGGCTATTAATATACCCTCTTTTGTGAAGTACCTGCTCAAAGTTTTGGCCCACTTTTTAAAAACTGGGTTGTCTTATTAGAGTTCTAAAAGAACACTACACTACAGTTATTTTCTCCCATTCTGCCTTGCCTTTTCACCTCTTTCTGCTGTTTTTCAAATAGCAGTTTTTAATTTTGATCTTTTTTTAAATGCTTCAAACTTTTTGCGTATTATCAAAGAATCGTTGCCTACCTCACAACTGTAGAAATGTTTTCTGTTTTCTTCTAAAAGTTTTATAGTTTGGGGCTTTTAATTTATGCTTATGATCCATTTAGAATTAGATGTGTGTAAATTGTGATATAAGGGGTCAACATTCATATTCTTCTGTATGGATAACTCTTTGCTACAGCATCAGTTCTTGAAAAGAATTTAATTTCCCCATTGAACTGTGTGACATCTTGTTAAAAATATTTAGTAAGAATGTATGTGTAGATACATTTTTGTTCCACTGAACCTATTATCTAATTTCTCAATACCACACTGTCTTATTTTTGTCTCTTGAAAATAAATGTTGAAATCCAGAAGTGTTAACTGTTGCACCCTTGTTTTTCTTCCAAATCACTTTAAATATTCCACATAAAGTTTTGGTAGTTCCATAAACATTTTATAATCAGCTAGTCAATTTTATCCAAAGGGATGCAACTGCTGAGATTCAACTGATTGGAATTACATTCAACCTACCAATACATTTGGGGAGAACTGGTCTAATAGTATTCTCTAGAAATATCTATGACCAATGTATATTTTTCTATATCCTTTGTTCTTTTTAATTTCTTAACGGTTTTCAGTGTAGATATTTTTAAACAGTTTCTGAAAACTTATTCCTAAATATTTTATGTTTTTGATGCTGTTACAAATGGAATTTTTTACATTTTTTGAATTTTGCTGCTTGTATATAAAACTGATTTTTAAAAAACATAAAACCTTATATCCAACAATCTTGCTAAATTCTGTTATCAGTTCCAATAGCTGTTTTGTAAATTCCAGGTTATTTACATAATCATGTCATCTGCAAATAGAAAAAAATGTAATCCTTGCTTTCTATTGATTATGCCTTTATCTTTTTATTCTTCTCACCCTCCAACAATGCACCTTTCACCTGCTCAATCCTGAAAAGTAATTCAAAAGTGACATTCATGCCAGAAAATTCAAAAAACTAAAAAACAATGATTTTCTTAAAAAAAAAAAAAACAACAACAAAAAACTGGCCAAAAAGCTCATTAAAAAAAAGAAAATTTTTTTTTGTTAGATGAAGAAAGGAACACTGATCCTAGGATAAAAAGATAAACCTCAGTCACAAATTATATAATAATAAAACAAAAAATTATTATATGTACGCCCTTAAATCAAAAACCTAAGACTATATATGGGCTTCCCTGGCTCAGGCAGTAAAGAATGTGCCTGCGATGCAAGAGACCTGGGTTTGATCCCTGGGTCTAGAAGATCCTCTGGAGAAGGAAATAGCTCCCACTCTAGTATTCTTGCCTGGAGAATCCCATGGACAGAGAAGCCTGGCAGGTTACAGTCCTCGGAGTCGTAGAGTCAGACACGACTGAGTGACTAACACTTTTCATTTTCACAACTATATATAACATCAGCACTGTTATCACTAGTATCAAAGCTAGAATTATGAGAAGATTAATTCTGCACGAATCCTTCTGACGTCTCATCATGTTCTCCTGTTTAACAGTAAGTAACTTTCTACTGAGCACTGAATGTGTATGTACTAGGATCTTCTAATCCTCACCAGACTCTCACGTACTAATTACATCTCCATTTTACATGTGAGGAAATGAAGACCAGGAGGGACTGAATCTAACAAAGATCAGTCAGATTAAGTGGCAGGGTGAGGATAAGAACTAAGTCTGACCCCACAACCTATAGTAATCTTAATACATACAAGATACTTAAACCTCTATCACTGGCCCATATAACATGTTACTTTCGCCACGTAAATTTAAAACAAACAGTAATATCAGTGCCTTTTCCCCCAACAAAACTCTACCATGATATTCTGCCTTGTTCCAAAAGGAACTGATGCCATTGATACTTTATTAAGTGAGCAGTGTCAAAGTAATAAAATACACCTACTGGTTTCGGCATTTTTCTTCTCTTTTTGTCACCCTCTTCGAAAATTCTTCAGTTTTATGAATTCTCTTTTATGTCTGTTAAAGAAAAGAAAGCATAATTGATCTATTTTTTAATATAATAATGTTTTTAACAATATAGTTAGTACAGATTAAATAAAATTTTAAACTCACATTTAAAAATGTTAACACAGAGTTCTCATTTTATTCTGATTTTCAATGTCTTCTATTATTTCTCATGCTTTAAAAATACTTACACTGGTGATTTAAAATAGCACACATCTCAAACAACATACTATATAAAAATATAAAAGCATCCTGATTATCAACTATAAATTTATTTAATTACAGATAACACATAGTAAAAGGAAAGATTACTAAGAGCCCAAATTCTCTTTCCGAGTCAAGTTCTCCCCAGTGCCCAGACTGGTAGAGAGAGGGATAGCAGAGAACTGATTCAGAGTCTAAAGAAATCAACTCCAGAACACTTTTCAACCCTTCCTCTACACTGACAAAGACAAAAAAGGAAATACTGATTAATGTAAACTACACAAAGATAAATTTTTAAAGAAAATTATTTTTCCTGCTTGAAAGTTTAAAAGTCCAAGTAGAGACACATATGTTAACAGTAACTTTTTCACCTAAGGTGGATATAAACAGCCTTACTCTGCACACTAGCAACCGGCATGCTACTCACCAGCAAGAGAATGGCCTTCCCTGAAGTACAGAACTATCCTTAAAACCAACGTTAATTATACCTTCACCCACTAAGACAACAGAACTAAATCTTAATCCAGGGAAAACTTGCTATTTTCGGGTAAATTTCTTTACAAACATCTAACAAAATTGGGTTTTCCCCCTATAAAACTACCAAAAGATTTAACATTCTTAACCATTTAACTGTCCAGGAAAAAAATGATTATCATTCCAATTTGAAAACCTATTGTAAGAAGTATATAATTACCTGAAAATCACTATATACAAGTAGTATCTGTCAAGAACTTTTATTCATTACACTATGAACTACTGATAAATATACGATTAATTTTGAATTTAAAAAATGTATTATCAACTCCCTTTTAAGATACTACTTTAATAAAAATGAAAATTCTTCATATTAAAATAAAAACAAAGGATCAAAATAAAGTCAGTTCTCTAAATTTTAGCTGATCACATGTTAATAAACCTCCCTACAGAGGGAACTTCATCATGAGAAATTTCTCACCTAATACAATGGGGTACGAAATTCAGTGAGAAGCATGAAATATCTCATCTCTCTCTTACTGCTTAACTCTTAACTAGGAAATGATAGATACTCTGTTATCTACGATCACCTACTTTCATTAAATAACTTTACTGTACTTGGGTCCTAGCTTCCACTTCTGAATCCTCTTTTTAATCTCTACTATCAAATCATCTCAGGTCTTAAAACAGCCTCACAACCAACTTTTTACACCATTTATAACCTAGTAACTCCTAAATCTGTATCTCTAATCTTGCTTAGCTAACTTGGGCTTTTTAATTTCTTAAAGGTTTTCAGTGTAGAGATTCTAAACAGTTTCTGAAAACTTATTGCTAAATATTTTATGTTTTTGATGCTGTTACAAATGGAATTTTTACATTTTTTGAATTTTGCTGCTTGTATATAAAACTGATTTTAAAAAACATAAAATCTTATGTCCAACAATCTTGCTAAATTCTGTTATTAGTTCTGATAGCTGTTTTGTAAATTCCAGGTTATTTACATAATCATGTCATCTGCAAATAGAAAAAAACGTAATCCTTGCTTTCTATTGATTATGCCTTTATCTTTTTATTCTTCTCTCCCTCCAACAATGCACCTTTTACTTGCTCAATCCTGAAAAGTAATTCAAAAGTGAGTCATGCCAGAAAATTCAAAAAACTAAAAAACAATGATTTTCTTAAAAAAAAAAAAAAAAAACCTGATGAAAAAGTTCATTAAAAAAGAAAAAAAAATTTGTTAGATGAAGAAAGGAACACTGATCCTAGGATAAAAAGATAAACCTCAGTCACAAATTATATAATAATAAAACAAAAAATTATTATATGTACGCCCTTAAATCAAAAACCTAAGACTATATATGGGCTTCCCTGGCTCAGGCAGTAAAGAATCTGCCTTAGATGCAAGAGACCTGGGTTTGATATCTTATATTTAAAACTCTACTATTTTTCTGTACCACTTTCATTATTGTTTAAGTGCTTCAGTGTCCGATTACAATTTCTACTCATACTAGGTTTTAAATTTTCAAATAAAATGGTTAGGGACCTGGGGGCAGAGTGCTGTCTTTTTTATTATTTACTTCTACGTTTATTATACACTACAGTCAAAGCACTCATTTCCGTTACGTCTAGTGCTTGGTCAGCTTAGTTTCTTTTTTGATTGTTACATAAATGAAATATAATGAAATATATAATGAAATATATATTTAATATATAAATGACAATAATGTATGTTTGCATTTGATGAGTTAGATCAAGCCCGATCAAGTATTTAATGTTCTGTTTCCAGTCTCTCTCCTTTCAGTTTAGCCTGTATGCTAAGTCACTCCAGTCGTTTCCGACTGTGTGCCACCCTGTGGACTGCAGCACGCCAGCTGTCCATGGGATTCTCCAGGAATCCAACCTGCGTCTCAAGTCTCCTGCATTGGCAGGCAGGTTCTTTACCACTAGCGCCACCTAGGAAGTCCCTTCAGTTTAAGCTGATCAAATTGAGAAAAAATGGATTGCATTTTCTCAACTGATAGTGGATGTTAATTTCTTCTTATGAAATGCCAGTTTTTTAATTTTATTTTTTATATGGTTTTAGGCTATGTTATTGGGCTTCCCTGATGGCTCAGAATGTAATGAATCCGTCTGCAATGCAGGAGACCTGGGTTTGATCCCTGGGTTGTGAAGAGCCCCTGGAGAAGGGAATGGCAACCCACTCCAGCATTCTTGCCTGGAGAATCCCATGGACAGAGGAGCCTGGTGGGCTATAGTCCATGGGGTCGCAAAGAGTCAGACACAACTGAGCGACCTAGCAAACAAGTAATGCTATGTTATTAGGTGAGTAAAGGTTTAGAACTATTGTATCTTTGTAATAAATACTTCCTTTTTTCATTCAGTAATAATTCAATAGCATATAATTAAATCAACTGTTATTCTCTCCGTATTTGGAAAATACTAGTTTTCTCATGGCCTCTATTACTGACAAAAAGTCTGCTGTCAATTTAATCTATTCCAGGTATGCTTTTTCTCTCTGCTTTTCTTTAAGATTGTGTGTGTGAGCACATTCTTCAGATTTGCTTCTATTTCTCTTGCTGAGGATTTGGTAAGCTTTCTTATTCTGAAGACTCATGCTTTTCTCAAACTGTGGAAAATTACTAGCCACTGTCTCTCCTAGTCAGCAATTCTTTAATTGGATACATAATGACTGTATTGTTTTCTAATCCATGCCTACATATTCATATTTTTCATCTCTTTACCTTTCTGTGTAACACTCCTCCAGCCACTAATTCTCTGCATGTGTTCTTAATGTTTTACCTGTCCACTATATTAAATTTTAAGTAATTATATAAACTTCTAAAAATCTACTTTTAGTCTCTTAAAAAAAATTTTAATGCTATACTATTTTATAATTTGCTTGGAATCCTTTTATCCCTACAATGTTTATTTTATATCCCTATAAAATTTTGTTTCCAGTTCATTATGACTTGTTTCTTTATGGAGTTTATAATTTTGGTCAGAAAGCTCACGTCCCTAACCCACTCCTCAGTGTGGCATTTCTGTAAGCCCTGAGCTGTCTATTCACCTTACAGAGATTATTTCAGGTTTGCTCCTACCAGAGTACAGTACCAGAAATTTTAATTGCCCTAGATCAATCTTCTCTTCAAGAAAATTAAGAGATACTAAGAGAACATTTCATGCAAAGATGGGCACAATAAAGGACAGAAACGGTATGGACCTAACAGATGCAGAAGAGATTAAGATGACGTGGCAAGAATACAAAAAACTATACAAAAAAAGATCTTAATGACCCAGATAACCACAGTGGAGTGGTCACTTAGCTAGAGCCAGATATCCTGGAGCGTGAAGTGGGCCTTAGGAAGCAACATGAATAACAAAGCTAGTGGAGGTGATGCAATTCCAGTTGAGCTATTTCAAATCCTAAAAGATGATGCTGTTAAAGTGCTGCACTCAACATGCCAGCCAATTTGGAAAACTCAGCAGTGACCACAGGACTGGAAAAAGTCAATTTTCATTCCAATCCCAAAGAATTTCAAACTACCATACAACTGAGCCTATTTCACATGCTAGCAAGGTAATGCTCAAAATCCATCAAGCTAGGCTTCAACAGTCCATGAACCAAGAACTTTCAGATGTATAAGCTGGATTTAGAAAAGGCAGAGGAACCAGAGAAAAGGCAGAGAAAACAGAGATCGAATTGCCAACATCTGTTGAATCATAGAAAAAGCAAGGGAATTCCAGAAAAACATCTACTTCTGCTTCACTGACTACACTAAAGCCTCTGACTGTATGGATCACAACTAACTGTGGAAAATTGTTAAAGAGATGGGAATACTAGACCACCTTACCTGCCTCCTGAGAAACTTATATTCAGGACACGTAGCAACAGTTAGAACCAGAAATGCAACAATGGACTGGTTCAAAACTGGAAAAGGAGCAAGTCAAGGCTGTATACTGTCACCCTGCTTATTTAACTTCTATGCAGAGTACATCATGCAACATACTGGGCTGGATGACTCACAAGCTGGAATCAAGACTGCCGGAAAAAATATCAGCAACTTCAGATATGCGATAATATCACTCTAATGACAGGAAGTGAAGAGGAACTCAAGGAATTCCTGATGAGGGTAAAAGAGGAGAGTGAAAAAGCCGGCTTAAAATTCAACATTCAAAAAACTAAGATCACGGGCATCTGGTCCCATCACTTCATGGCAAATAGGATGGAAAAACATGGAAATAGTGACAGATTTTATTTTCCTGGGCTCCAAA